TCGAAAACACAATCCATAAATACATGCTAATTTCTAAGGAGATAGGAAGTGTATAACGTGTTTATCGATTTTGTTTAAAGATTTAATCAATTATCAAATTGTTTAAGTGGATAAAGTGGTCACACTTGCTTCAATTCATAGCGAAATCGACGGATGGAAACTGACCGAATTCCCGATATCCTACCCCGTATTAATGTAGGCTATAAGCACAGTGACCTACAGAGGGCGCTATCACAAACAAGTACTGCACGAACCGATAAATTCCCGGGTATTGTAACGCCCTTGATTACAGTACATATTTCAACATGTTTAATATGGCAAACAGCGATTCTGATTCCCGGGTTATATGAACGCTTTTAAGATTTTCAAAATTGAGTAACTTTTTGAAGGCGAAGGAGACAAGCAATAAGTTTTCCTTTATTTAACCTTCTAATTTAGGTCTGATTTCAAAAAAAATTTAACTGCACAATATTGTCATGGCGAAATTTACAAAACAATAACCGATTTCTTTATTTTTCAAATAATAAGAGAATAAGAGTTGCTTTTAGAGACTTGAAAAACTGTAACGCATCGATTTTTTACCACAAATCCCATACATATCAATTTTTACTAACGCCCCGAGTGGACTTCCAGACCGTTTTTCAAAAATCAAAAACATTTTAGAATTATTGTCCTCGAGATCTTGTTGCTCTGTTAATTTTACCAGGATTGAATAAGAATAAAGCATCTTATTTTTAGGTTGACTAAACTTGACAAAATGTAACGCTTGTCGTTTTTGACGTTATGATGCTGATTGCGCCCTATACTGCCCATTGTATTGTTTTGGTATAACCCGGGAATCAGAATCGCTGTTTGCCATATTAAACAGTCATAGGGTCTAACAGTCACTTCTAATGAAGCATAACAATCATCCATTATTAGACCATACAATTCACATGACCATTATAATAGTTCACAACAGTCAAAAGCACATATTATTTGACAATTTAACGTGTTTGATAGCTTATTTGACAACTTATTATGTATTCAAACATGGTTAAGGAGGGCTATTTTAGCTAGTTTTTTAATTTGCCCCGGGTGCGTTGATTTCAAGTTACTATGGCAACGTTTTCTTGTCTAACGTTTCTGTTATTCTAGATATTTTTCTCTGGATTAATGAAACATTCCATGCTGCACATTGTGTCAAGATTTCATAGGAAAATATTGAAAAATAAAGAAATTAGAGATATATTATGAGAACTTTATGATCAACCCTCGTATGTCTTGTTGTGACCGTTTACAGAAATAAGCATGTTCTTGTATACACTCGTCCTATGCCCCTTTTAAAAGGGAATCCAGGGAAATATGAAGGAATAAAAATCGTATTGAATCGTATTACATGAAAAAATCGTATTGTCCCCGGGAAAAAATATCGTATTGGATCGTATTACATGAAAAAATCGTATTGCCCCCGGGAAAAAATCGCATTGGGGTATATTAACCTAATTTCGGTTTTCCGGTTATTTTTTTCCGGTTCAATATCATATTACCCTTCGGTCAATATAATATTGTCCCTCGGAATAAAACCCATATTCAATCCCTCCAAGTAAATAACCTATATGTACTGTATGGGTGAGAGAGGGATTCTGATCAAACGTCCCATTCTCAACACTTCATAAAACTGGCAGTGTGTGACGTGAATTTGATTTATTTAGAAAAAATTGTACATACACGTCGCACGAAACTAAGGACAATTAGAGTAACATTATGGCGTCAAAATACCAAAACATTTCAAAGCAATATTCGCCTTTCTTTCTTCTTCCGTCTTACGGTATCGCTTACTTGTACCTAGGAGGATAAATAAAAAAACTAGCTAGAATAGCCCCTATTAACCATGTTTAAATACATAATAAGTTGTCAAATAAGCTGTCAAACACATTAAATTGTCAAATAATATGTGCTTTTGACTGTTGTGAACTATTATAATGGTCATGTGAATTGTATGGTCTAATAATGGATGATTGTTATGCTTCATTAGAAGTGACTGTTAGACCCTATGACCGTTTTGTCAAATATTCCGAAAATATTGATTTTGCCCCTTTAAATCATTTTTAACATGTTCAGACCACACACAGGGTATAATTTAGTTGATATCTTTAGATCATGCTTAGTCTGACGAAAGGATCTACATGCTTAACATAACATTTTGTCAGTATGAATTTTATTTTTAAGAAGATCTCTACATCTATTGCATTATCTTACTCAGTCATTTCTTATCATTAGCTTTGAGTCTCAGACTCTGGTATCATACCTAATGAAGCATGAAAGCATCCCCCATGACATCACACCATCCACATGATCAATTTTTTAATAGTAAAAGCAAATAACAGCATATTCAAGTTAACATTTGAACGTGTTTGGTCATTAATGAGAGTTTATTATGTGTGTTAACATGGTTCATTAGAGCTATTCTCTCTATTACTTTTATTTGCCCCGGGTGCCTTGATTTCCCGTTACTATGGCAACCATTTCTTATTCAATATTTCTGTTAAACTTAATATTAACCACAAAAAACTGCACGCATTCATTCTGTTGAGTGTCACTCTTGAAAAAAAAAAAGTTTCGTTGAGAATATTTGAAATATCACAGATAATTCAGATGATGATAGAAAACAATGACAGGACCGCCAAAAATTATATGTTCACATTAACAATGTATTACAGATGAGGAGCCTTAACTGATTACGCGCTGGTCACCGAAAAGAACCGTACGTGTACGTGTACCTCTGCTCCAGATCACACTCCGCGCGATCTTCAGCCTGAAACAATTTTACATAGATTATCGTTTTTTCTATCATCTTCTGAATACACAGCCATACATTTCCAAATATTCTCAACTAAATGTGTTTTTTTTCATTCGGCACTGCCTACAAACACATAGATATTGAACAGTACTGCTCTTGCTGTGTAGTATGGTGTTTTTCATTCTAATTCACTGTTGCACAACTAGTTACTTTGACGGAACGTCAAAGTAACAATTGAGAGATTAAGCAAGACGTTTTTATGACGGGAACCGCAAACGTAAACCAATACGTTCCCGTTTACGTTCTATGAACAAAGTACTTTAAGCTAAGCACTTTGGATACTGAGCAAACGTTTAACTAAAAATGACATTTTCTTTTTGCTAGCGGCCTTTATTATCCGTTTTCTACTTTAAAAGTATAAAAACAGTATTCTAATGACAAATTGATGTTGAGGAGATGTGTCTGGCAGTGTTTTATGATTTTTGAAGCTTAAAACGTATAACAGGACGCGATTATTTCATATTCTTATAAAGACCTAAAGGTCAATTGATCGAAGAAACACAATATAGATAGTAGATTTAAGATGAGTTGACATATGGGCACTGGGCAGTCTCCATGTATGCAATCTCATCAGATTTTACATACGAAATGGGTGCCACGGTACTCAAGTTATATTTGATAAGGGTGGACACCGATATATACACAGATTCGTGTCAAACATATTAATGCATTCGACTTATATCATATCTATCTCGATAGTGCTTGAAAAAGTTCTACAAGTCCTTTACGGAACCACCTACCTAGACTTTGATTTCTTACGTTGTGATGAACGTCAACCGGGAAACCAAGTGGAACAATATGACGTGACGTCCTGAGAAAAACCTGCGCGCGCCTTCCCGTTCGAGGTTTACGTTGTAAAAAAAGTAGTGATGCTTAACCTCTCTAATATAGATGAACTTCCTGGATACGAGTTTTTTGTTTTCTCGATTTAAACTTACGTAAAAGTCATATTGCGAATTATCATTGGCACAAAGTTAGATGATTGTCTTGCTTTTAGAAATGCTCTTGGTTTGGAATTTGATTTTTAAATAAAGCTGTAATTCATGCACTTAGACCATCGCTTTTGTTACATTGACGTAAGTCGTCAAAGTAACATATAATCTGCATTTTCCAAATATTTTGATTTGTCAAAATTATCAATTCAGCCTGAATTTTTCCTCCTGTTTCAATTTGTCCTTTCAAAACTTCAGTAATGTTTGTTATGGTAACGCGTGTTTCCAGTCACGTGATTAATGAAATAACACTATATTTTCCCGATGACGTATGCCTATATAGGTTAATAACTTATATTAAAGTCCTGAGGCCCGGGTATACTGTCATTCATAAAATAATCAGTCTTATTCTTACCCATTAAGCTTATAAAAACAGTCTTATTCTTATACATGTAAGTAATCTAGTAAAAGATTGATATACAATGTATACACCAGGCATTAACAACTCAGTACACTAGCGAACATTTTCAACATTTTTAACGTATTCCTGGGCCTCAGTTAAAGTCATGTCGTCATATGGTTACACTTTTATTTATTTTTAATCTAGATGTCCATAACAACAAATTTAGTGTTCTAGGCGACCATTACATTACAAGGTTTGATTTTCAACTTTGCAACGGAGGTCGTATCAGATCCTCCTAAAGCTGACAATCTAAGCTTTTCTAACTTGACAAGGATAAGTACAGTATGATTTCAAAATATTGTAAAATCAAAACAATTTTTATGGAGCTTGCTCTTTAGAATTCATTCTGGCTTACTTGCGAAATCCCACAATGTCCTCTTTAAACAAACAAAATACATACTGCATATTGGTTAGAATTATCTATGTGACCTAACATTACCTTTAATGTTAAAGTTATATTGCAAATGAGCTGGTTGCACACCCCCACGTGGGGCTCTATGGTTCCTTTTGAACATTGATGACATCACATTAATATTTATTGTATACCCTTGGCGTTCAAATGCAAATTAACTTGTTTTTAATTTTCAGGAGACATGTTTATTCATGACTTGTCCAATAGTTAGCTAGAAATATATTATTTGGAAAATGTTTTTTATTCCAGAGAATTCGAATATTTGCATATAGATGTACAATGGAGAACATTTTCTAGAAAACCCAAGTCTGTAAAGAAATTTGATATTTTACAAACTTTTAAATTACAAACTTTATTTTGTGATACTTTTAAAAACTATATTTATTACTAGATTGTGTATTTTATACAGAATTAGACACATTTAAAATTAATGTATAGGCTAAAAGGTTCATGAAAAGTCTATATACACATGTGTTGTCCGTATAAAATATCCGCATATTTTGAAAAGATATATATGACTCGGAAATATCCATAGCTGTTGTTTCCATTTCACGGTTCATTTGTCTGTTTTATATATACATTCCATTGCTTTAACGCGCAACAAATAGTCTTATATGAAGTTTGGGAATGTCGATGTATACATCTGATATGTAACTACTTTTCTAATGTATATAGGTATTCAGCTGTATCTGATATGTACCCATTGTTTTTATAAGAAGGTTCTATGGGTATGCCGTATCTGATACGTAGCCACTGTTTTTATATGAAGGCGGATGCACCCCTGAGGATTTCTGTGGAGTCATTGTGCTGTTAAAGCTGTTGAGTGTATATGACGAAGGGTAGTATGGAATGTTCACTTTGCTCTCCTCCATTCCACCTTGGGATATAGGCATCATCTTCTCTTGCTGAAAGTGTATTGTAATACATGGAATAATTCGATGCCCCTCATCTATACACGTACAGTCTACTTTCGGGCTAGAAGCAGCTAAGCCTATTATCACGTGTGACGTACATACCCAGATACTAGTGACGTCATTAGTTTGAGTGTAACTGAACATGCAAATGAAATGTTAATGAGATATTCCGTATATGTTTCCCATGTTGTCACTTATTTATAAGCAAAAAGTGTTTTAAATATTTCTAAGCAAGGGTTGGTATCGATATGGTGAACTTTTTGAACACGGGTTTCTCTTAAACCAGTCATCAAAGAAATAAGCTGATATAGCAATTAACATAATATTTCTATGAAATGTATATAACACATAAACTAGAGATGTTGTGTAGCTATACTACTTCAACTTACCTCTGGGATCCCACAAGTAGTTTTCCTGACATGTTTTGGGACCTTGTATTGACTGTGCCAGTATCCAAGTATACAATAGATGATCAGTGTGATAAGCAGTGCCGGGATGATGATGAAGATCCCCAAGTAAAAACTGAAAAACAATCAATCGGCAAATGTTTAGTTAAGGATTTAAGCACCGAGCCTAATAGTATACTTTGTATTTTATATCACATATATCACCAAAGATTGATATTTTAACTAGCATATGATATTAATTAGACTATACTTTAGATCAATGCAGGCCCGTAGCCCCCCCCCCCCCCCCCCTTGGCCAAAAATTCTTTCAAAGTCATGCAGTTTTTCACCATTTTTAGCACTTCTCAAGTATTTTATGGATAGATATGCTAGCAGGGGTTAATAGAACGGCAAAATTACGAAATCAATGAGGGTAGATAAATTTCACTTAATCTAGGGCAGGACCAACATAACCATGCATTCAATTATAGAATATAGAATGGGTCCGGTATAGTTGGCTGGATTGTGATAAAGCAAGTCTAGTTTTGTGTGAATATTATAAAATACCCGCTTTTCAATACACTTATCTGAAGGAAACTTTCGAACCATTTTGACATTACAGAAATATAATAGTTTAAGCTTGGAATGTTTTTCACAACCTTAACTCGAACAGAAAATATCTAAGCGATGCATTTGTATAGGTGATTGGTCTTGGTTTTGATTTTTATGCAAGCTTAAATTCTATATTGAAAGAGACAGAGGTCTGTTTAGTAATAAGTGGGCGACATCTATAGAAATAGTAAAACTATAGATCACCCTGCTGCCAAATAGCAATCGAACAATTATGTTGAACTATATTGTGTACTGTCTGGGATAAAATCAAAGATTCCTCTTTTGGATTTACAAAAAAATAGAGGACAAAGAAGTAACAACTTACCTAAAAAATTGATGCCACATTTTGTTGTCTTATTCCTTCATGTGTTACACCATTGCGTTGAAAAACAATATACCAATAAAACTGAAAAATATAAAGTAGCCTAGTACAATGAAAATTGTCAAGATAAATGTTACATGACATATTCAAAGTGCGAAAAGGCATTAACATGCACAATACCACCACCCACCATTTGTTACAGACTTCGAACTTCGAATGCCGATTATCGAACGCCAGACTCCGGCGAAAACCGTCCTCAAAAAGGTTGGAGACTATAACAGTATGTCACTCCATGGTGGTGGTGACATAAAAACGATGCAAGCATAAAGTTCAAATTTCTATATGAATCGAGTTATACCTATTTCTTGTTCCGTTTTTACCTCTGTATTTTAATGCTGTAATCATCACTGAAGACTTACCTTGAGTCTAGTTTTATTTATGTTGGTCTGGTATTATTTATATTTCATTGAATTTACTATTTAAGGCATTATCCAATACTACTTCACCTAAATATATATCTCAGTTCATAAACGATTTCCAAGATGGCGTCTTACATATAGAGCGTATATAGGTTTATCGTACTACAAAACATGGACTTTGATTCATGATGCACAGATAGAATATTCAAAAAAGTTTATCATTAACTAGTGTCGACGGCTGCTTACCTCAATCTATAAATATTTACATAAGATAAGCATGTGGGTATTCACTCGTCTATTTGTGTTAAATGCGCACTATCTATACATCGTAATACTTTTAAAATATTTTAAAAGATAATTCAAATTATTATATCACTGTCATATTCCTCACTCTCTTATTGGTCCATGTCCTACACGTGACTAAAAAATAACTAGCGATATGCAACGGAAGTCACGTGACTAAACTAACCAGCGATATTCAACGGAAGTCACGTGACTTCCGGTGAATATTAAATGATATTCAACGGTCATGAATGGACATTTGAAAAACATTCCAAACCCTTTTCACCACATCACATGGCCAATACTATGAGTATGATCACAATGGTTCCATTTGCATTGACCCATTGCAATGTTACAATTAATTATAATGTTAACATTAAACCTTAAATTGAAATACTACAATTTGGGAGTTGATATTTATTGACTATACAATTTGGTAGTTGATATTCATTGTATTTATTATTATATTGTTAGAAGAAATATAAATGTATTTCAATGTTAACATATGACTTATTTTATTATAGAAGATGTTATGACAGACTTTGGGCTTCGTGGAATACCACTTGTGAAAGATGCACAGGTATTCACCTCAATAGAATTAAACATTTGTATAATATTAAATTGAATATTAAAAATATAACTTAAATATTTTTTTCAGAATCCTATTAAATTGTCTCAGTTCTGTTATGTACATATCCTTGCATATTTTGGAGACCACGATCACATTTTAAATTTTCGGTGGCATACATTGCTGATCCTTGATATCAATTCAGTTTTTATGCTTATTTCATTGTTTCTAACTCACGGAAGTATATGCCATTGGCCCTTGCGGCCGTTCTGAAGAAACATATAATGTACAACAACTACAATGCATTGATTTTTAGAATCTGGTTAAAAAAGGGGAAAAAAATTTGTTCCGAAAGTTCGGTATATTCTGATGCATGTAAAAAGGCACAAATTGTTTCCTATTTGAGTTAAAAAATGTTTTTAAAAAATATGTGTAAGAATTTAATTTCATTAATTATCTAATGATATGAGAGCACATAAAAGACAACCCCATCTGTGATTTTTAGAGCATTTTGGATGCAGTTAAGATATGTCTCCATAGAAGTCTAGGTCTTGTAGCGCGAAATTACTTTTAATGGTAATGCGCTGGTTGATAGCTAGCTGTAAATGTGACTCGCCAGCTCATCGTAAAACTGGATGAATAGAGTGCATCTCCCAATATCTTAACATTTAGCTGATTTTTGAAGAGCTATCAACCGCGACTCGAGTGCTACGATTTCAATGTGAAACGGACTGGATTTGATACAATATTCCGATAGTCGGAGACACATAAAACAGTCTTAGCTCGGGATTATAAAACCGATTTAGTAAAGATCTTATACATCCGTATTTGATGAATATATATAAGGGATCGCTGACTAAATTTATTAATTAATAAAATGTCTTATAGGCCTAGAGGCTAATTATACAATATAAACATCTCCCTTAAATAAGGCATTGTTGATTTTGTATCGTCGTGTTATGTACAGAAATTGGTAAATGTCGATTTTCAATAATAGTTTGGAAAAACATGGTTTGCGCATAATAGCTCCATTGAAAACGAGACTACTCGTACAAGACGGGTTAAGAGACGAGGCAGCTGGTATAGTTACAAGTAAAATTAAATGAAAATAAACAATTGTGTTTTATACAAGGGAAGATTAAAGACTACGTCGACATATGCATAATTGATTCAGTAAGTATAACAGATTTAAGATATTTATTTTAATTAATCATGTTTATGGCACATCCAAGAAGTAATGGAATACTGTTCATAGCCATCGTGTTAGTGACCGGATTTCGCTGTTTTTATCGGCGTCGGCGTTTGTAACAACTGATGAAATTTTGTCTCTATAAAATTAACATGATCACGTGATACTTTATTTTTTGAGTTATAATATTGTCAGTGTGCACCATTTTCTATGTTACACTGTCGACATCGTATCAATGAGGAAACAGTAAATTCGATTTCGATTTTGGGGATTAAGGTTTTTACATTGCATCAATTTGGGAGTACAATTGCCTTTGACACTTCTTGTTGAAGATACGAGAAAGGGAACATAGGAGTCATGTTCTTTGTTACATTTTGTGGCATCTAAAAAGCGTGGATTACACCCTCAAAATTAAATTGATCTCAACTGAGTAAATTGGGTTTATAATTACGTCGAGGTCCACCTTATCTTTCCATGGGGTATACAATATACAATTGTTGACCTCTCCAGAGGTCAACCGGCAAAATTGTATACCGAGACTGTAAACCGAGAAACTACTGTTGACAGAGACCGAAGGTCGAGGTCAACAGTAGTTTCAAGGTTTACAGTCGAGGTATATAATTTTGAAGGTTGACCGAATGGAGAGGTCTACAATTGTTTTGTTAGTCAGAAGAAACTAATGATACACATATAGACGACAGTCATCAATCATGGCTTCATTTCTCAATCTTTTCTCCGAACCACGCCAGCAATAATTTTTTAAGAAAATCGGTAGCTAAACTCTCTGTTTCGGCACATCACTACGTACTCACTAGTAAATTAATGTTAATTTAACGTTTCTATTTGTATTTTTGCTATACTTGTCGTCTAGCAAAGTCAAAATATCACTTTCATCAACGTTTACAAAATGTCCGTCTACCATGTTTTTTTCTGTAAACATTATGACGTCATATCCCCCATAATTCACAAGTGTAGTACAGTAACATACGCGGTCAATAATATGATATCCCATGATGCACAGGTGGGGTACAGGCAAAAATGTTGACCGCTAATTGACCAATCAGATGCGAGTATTTACACTGAGGTACTAACAACAAATATTGTATCAATAACAATAATTGCAAATCATACAATTAGCTTATACGATGTATATAATGCGCAATGTACGTGAATCGTGTTGATATAATCAATTGCAAGTCATGAGGTAAATATGTTTATTCAAATATCTCTCCTTTATAACATACAGTAACCCGGTAAATTGATCCCATGATAGTCGTTCCCGTTGTAATATATGAATATCTTCACTTGACTAAATAAAGAACAAATTATATGGTGTAGCACAGTATTAGAAGATTTGCCAGAGGAAACACCGTACCCAATATGGCTTTAGTGATGATCTGCTGATTTTCAAGAGTGGGTCTCCTCATTTCAAAGACGTCGTCTGAAATCAGTACATAAGTACACTGCCCTCAATAACGTTTGGAAAGCTAAGCCCCATTAATTTGGACTACTATATACTTGTAATTATATTTGAGGAATGAGGAATTAAATCATTTGTATGTTAGTCTTGAGAATTGTTTAAGTTGATGAAAATTCAAACATTTAACACGTAGACTAGTGCAAAGAGGGAAGGGAATTTGGATAGGCACTTATAAAAGGGTGTACGTCTCGGAGACTACAGTATTTTATAAGTAACATACGAGTATTTCGAGTATTTCGAAATGGAACTGAAATAGGCGTCGTACCATTCTGATACTCATAGCATCTTTCTTTTTCACACCTCAGGGCTGAGAAGAAATGAGATGTCATGGTTTATCATGATGGCGTTGTACAGGGGTAATTTAATTTTGGTCTAGCATTTTCTGCTCCCTCTCCCTCTCCCCCCTCCCCCTCAAAAAATCATTGAATTATGTCATGATGATATTGTATCATACTTTTTTCTTTACACACGGTCAAAGCCAGTTTACACCAGTTTACACCATGGCAAGGCATCATTGTCCTCTGGGATCATGTTTTATTTTACGTCTGTAAAAGCTTTTATATACATTTCAGTGTTTAGTGACCTCTGGAAATGACCCTTCTTATATTAAGCGCCAATTATAACATTAAACGGTGACAATATTCAATAATGTAATTATGGCAATATAAAATTATGAAATATACGTTAATGCTTTCGATCACATGTTCTTGCTGATGCCTATAGCTTAAAATGGCAGAAAAATAGAGAATGTAAAATGTTGGGAGCAAAAATCATGACTTTATTTTCCTTGAATCTTGATAATATTTACATTCATTACTGTTATTAAAGGTCAGAAATGAAGATATAGCAAAAATATCAAAATTCGTTAAGATTGAAAGGAAACGTCCTCTTCTTTTCAAAATTATTGCTAGAACCTTTAAATCAAATGATTTTCATAAAAACAGAAAATATACATGACATGGAATGGAATATTATGAATAAAACGCATTGTAAGAGGTTAAATTATTAGTAAGCTGATCTTAACTTGTTTCCAGATTGTGATGTACCTTTAATGGCCAAAAGTTGTATACTAGAGTGATGGTAAATACCCAAGAAACATCAATGAATAGATGTATATCGAACGCCATTGAAAGAATTCGATAAATACCCTCCTCGAATAAAACTTCCCGACAATACTAGTATGAAAAGAGCCGAGATCAATTACCAATATCATTGTAACTGGCACTTAACCTATATGTGTGTCTCGTTTGTGTGAAGTGGTCGATTAAGAATGTTACTCGTTCCTTATGCCACAACCACATTTGATCTACGACAACCGTACGGTAACCGTGGCTTCTCAAACTCGAGAGATATATAGGGATAAGCAGTACGATGTAGATTTTCTATATCGATTTCGTGAAGCTACGGCCGCCGTACACCCGCCGTAAAGGAAATGTGACTAAGACTTAAGTCATAATTTGTTGAAAGATTTGGTTTAATCTGAAAGCAGATTAATATAGTCTATCATATTATTTACACATTTATATAGTTGTGCAGGTAAGCGAGTAAGATGTTTTTATTCATTTAATCCTTGGAGGCTTCTTTATCTAATATTTACTGTGATATGTACTTTGACAATTGTTTATAATTGGTTTACTCAGT